ATATATATATATATATATATATATTTTATATTTATGTATGTATATTAAATAAAATTTCTCCAAAAAATTTTATATTCTTCAAATCGTACATTTTTTTAAATATATACATTCATGACTTTTCATTTTATTTAATCATCTCTCTCTCTCTCCTTTTTCCCGTTTCTCTTTACCATTTATTTTGTTTGTGTCCGCTTTTATTTTATTTTCTCTGCTTGTTTAGCCATCCTCAGTTCTTCATTCTCAAATTCAACCATTTGCAAATTCTCTAACTTTCGTTTATAGTGTTTGATTGTAATGCTATAAAATATGATTTTTTGCTTTCATCTTTTATGCCCTCTTGTGTTACGCTTAGCCAGCAAGGCTCCAAAAGAGTCCAACGTGGCAATCCATGTGAAAGGAGTCAAAGAAGATATTAAAGTTTGACCGAGGTCAACATGTTCCTAAGTGGCAGCCAAGTAGAAACCCAAATCGAGGCTCCCAAGAGGTCCAGCCAAAGTGCCTGTAGAGTTGCATACTGAGGTAATGAAGAGGTGCCTCAACCCGAAGCTCCTCAAGGACGAGGTTCTACTTTGACTGAAGCTCATTTTGGATGAAGTTGTCGTTGTCTCTTACAAGATCTGCAGACAATCTTTAAGAATGACTGATGTGACATTTGTAATGATGAATGTGTCAAATCTGCCAGCCTAGGTTGTAGGGTAATTGACTCGCTGTCAATATATTAAATGCGTAGCAAGCTAGTGATGTGATGCTGTGACTTGTGGGATGAAGCCACGTGCTCCTTCATCCAAAGGTCACCACTTCGGTAGAGTCTTTTAAATACCAACTCTTGTAACACTTTTGAGAGGGGCAACTGAATATAAAAAAAATGCTCATTTTTGTCTTTTAATTTTTTAGTACTCTTATTTGATTGTTCTACAATTACTAGTTTGATCCTTGGTTAGTTACTTTGATTTTCGATTGGTGATTGTTGTTAGCGCGATCATCTTTGTTTCACCCGCTAGAACTTGAACATTTTTGTCTCTCACCTTAAAGCGCCCCCCGTGTTCATTTCCTCCTTATTACTACCCTTTATCCGATAGAAACGCATGGAAATAGTGCTCGACTTGGCGTGAGTGGGTCTGACATCCGTTGGCTCATTTTCAGGGGTCAACATCTTACATACTTTTTTGGTATTTTTCAAATGTTTCTTGCTTTTCAATTTTGGTATGAAAGTATAAAATTGGTCACATATAGCACTTTGTAATATTTGTACCTTGTGAGATGGCAAATTCTTGTATAAAGAATAATTTATTTTTTATTTTTATTTTAACCATACCATGCATGTTTTTATCTTCTATAAAGCGATAAATTTTTTTCAAGATTATGTGATAGATATGACACTTGAGCCACTATCACAAACACGTTGAGAAAATAAGTTGCAAGTATTAAAGTTATAAAATTTTTAAGTACCGAAAATAAGCCGCTTTAAATCATTTGGTAGAAATATGTGATGACCCAGATGTATTGAGAGTGCTAAAAGTTTATTTTCTATCATTTTGAATTTTAAATTTTTGTTTGACAAATATAACAGAGTGAGTCCATGTATATTAATACTACTACTAGTCACTTGAAATCACTTATTTCATTTTTTTTTTGAAGTTTATAGTTTTTTCAATCTAAAAGATGAAGTAATTTTGATATAAAGAACCCAATTTGATAATGCAAACAAGTTAATGTTTATATTGATATTTGTAGTCAGTGAAACTGCCAAAAAAATGTGGAATTTATTTATTTAGGACAGAATAGTCGGTGAGAGTAGATATCTGTCAACTTCCTGATAGCGATTGTGGATAAAAAAACCTCTACGTGGTTTTTCTTCGGACTTGGGCTACTCATTCTGGTCAAGAGTCGCTCATTAATTTTCCGCAACAAACCACAAGAAATCTCAACAGCCCCACTTCACATCAACTATCAATTCAAACAATAAGAATCGACAACCTATGAGAGCGGAATATGGCGGCGATTTCAAATGGAGGGAATGAGTGGAGAGCCCATTTGGCGACGGCGATAGTGCAGGTGTTCAATGGAGGTTACCAAGTTATCTCCAAAGTTGCACTCGATGTGGGGGTGAATCAGATTGTTTTCTGTTTGTACCGGGACGTCATTGCTCTCTCAATCCTCGCTCCGGTAGCCTATTTCAGCGAAAAGTAACCCCCCCCCCCCCCCATCCCTCCCTCTCTCTATATGTATCTGTGTGTGTATAAGTTTGGCCACAATATCAATTTTTACCAAATTTAATGTGGGGGGATTAGTTAAGGTTCCGATGAGAATCCCAAATAATATCAGCAAACCATTTTGGAATGAAATAGTTGTGTCCCATCTCCTGAATTTCTACACAGAATTTTTAATGTCTTGATTTTATTGTACCTTAGTATCTATCATGATGTCTATATTGAGTATATATATACACAGCATTGAGCATATAAAAGATAAATTATCTACGGGGTTGAGGTCGTTGACCAACTCTATATATAATTGAAGGTCAGATCCACAAAGATATTATCATATATTATGTTTTATAATACTGGGTGGTGAGTTATGAACTGATATTAGTCCGGTTTAGCTAAAAAAAAAAAAATAGATTTTCAGGAGATTTTGATAAAGTTTGACGAAATGTGGGGGTGAAAATTTGATAAAAATTGTGAGTCCACGAAAAATGTCGTTAAAATTAATTGTTGACATGCATAATATAGTAGCTTGGAGAAAATCAGTCTTAACTATATTTTCAAGAAACGCTTTGTCTCTAGGCCCAGTTCAATAAATGCTAGCAACTTAAACACAAATCTCATTCCAAAGTTGGTTTATTATACAAAGCAGTTACTGCTTTTGCTGTTCATTCCTAACAATTTTTTTCATGCTGCTTTTGGATTTTTGTAGATTAGCGAAATGTAAAGGAACATCTAAAAACAGTGAAACCATTAGGGCTAGAGAACAAAAAAATTGTTCTTTCGAAAATATGTTCTTGAGTTGCACTGTTCGGTATTGTTACTATAGATAGTGCAGCACTATTTAATCTTCTATTCCATATTTTGCAGAAGGCTAAGACCTCCTCTGAATAGACACCTTATATTCACATTCTTCTTTCTTGGTTTGACCGGGTAAGTTTAATATCTCCACTCTCCAGTGCTTTTTATGCTTTATTTTTGTGTACTGCAGTACTTATGATTTATCTTCGTCTCTTTCGTTTTTCTTGGAATTGGATAAGGATTTTCGGCAACCAACTTTTGTTTCTTATTGGTCTCGGCTACACAAATCCGAGTTATGCTTCAGCCTTTCAGCCTTCAATTCCAGTCTTTACATTAGCATTGGCTGTGACAATGGGGTCAGTCTACTCTACTCATGCTCTCTCTCTATATCTCTCATATGCACACCCCGCTCGCGCTCTCACACAAGTACTCTGCATTATCTTACCCTGCCCTCCCATGTGTATGTTTCTTGTACGCATCAACGCCTGTAACGCACTTGAGAGTAGATGCATATCCATTTCCTTTATGTATATAAACATAATCCATAGATATTATCATTGTTCAGTGTTACATTTATTCATTCTTTATGCAGTACTGAAATAATGAATTTGAGAAGAACTGAAGGTCAAGCTAAGTTAGGAGCTATTCTTTTCTGTATTTGTGGTGCCATTCTAATGGCTATGTTTCGTGGTCCTGCCGTTTTTGGATATAAGGAATCAGAATTTGCAGCGCAAAGTGAAATAAGTGCCAAGGGTCAGCCTGAGCCTGTTGGATGGTTATTGTCTAGTTTTCTGGAATTAGGGATTGATAATTGGCACCTTGGTGTTTTATGCTTAATTGGGAACTGCATGTGCGTGGCAGCTTATCTAGCCATTCAGGTGAATGATATCAATCTTGAAGTTTGTAATGTTTT